GTGTGTGTGTGTGTGTGTGTGTGTGTGTGTGTGTGTGTACATGAGATGAGGTGGGTGTGTGCATAGTTGCGTGTGCAGGCAGAAGTGTCTCAGCGTGTGTCCTGTTCTTCTAATGAAGTCATCTGAACTGTGATTTAACAGCCCTGGTTTAAAAGCCTGCTGCCCTTAACTCATAGCCTTGCTCCATTAGAACATGACATAAACCCTGGGCACAATAACTGTCCTGCCACTATTACAATATATTGGAGGCCAATGGGACACTCTGCTAACTCTCAAAGTCTGCTGAGAAAAAAAATGCAAGGCATATTTAAACAGCACAGGTAAGTCATTCAAGGGACAAAAGCTGGTAGAATATAATGTGGTTTTTATTGTTTGAAATGGCAATGCTTTTATAAGTTTTTCATTCATATATAATATATTGTGTATTGCTATTTTTCCAGGGAATGACAGAGGTAGTATAATAACTGTTGTAGAGCCTCTGTGAAAAGGCTGGAAGAAATTCAGTTTGCAGTTGTGTAAAAAGTCTTATTTTTGTTCCTTTGAACAAAAAAAAATCATTGGATCAGAAATCAGGGTCCTTATCCTGCAAACAATTTCCAATAGCTTGAAAAATACTTTTGAGTCAGTGACGAATGTGAGAAAACTTTGGCAGCCTGCATGTCGCCAGCCATGAAAAGAACTTCCTGCTCTCCGTGACTGACTCAGGCAGAAGCAAAGCCATTCTCCAAATCCTCCATGAAATCTGCTCTTCTGGCCTAACAAAGAGAGGCTAATGAGGCAAATGACAGAATCTAAGACACTTTGATACTGTGAGATTAGGGTGAATTATATAACTTTTACCCCTCCCATCCCCATCCTTCTCATATTTGCAGGAGTTTCTTGTCAGATTTGACTACTATCCCTTAACATGTCACTCATAATGTCAAACTGCATGTTCAGCCTCCCCCTATCTGACTGAACATCCACCTTATTCGGCTTCTATTCATAAATGCCCCAAGCCTAATTTGGCTCAGTCGAGCAATGACAGTATCTGTTTTAACATGCAACAAAACAGCAAAAAAGGGAAGGAAGACTGGGGTCTGTGTGTGTATGTGGGAAGATGGCGCAAAGGCTTGAAGGCAACAACGCTCGTCATAGCACAGCACAGAGCTGCGTACTTCACCCTTATTAGGCCTGTGTCCTTGGCAGATGCAGAGCTTGCCCTTTGTTAGAAAGATGTGTGTGTTACAATGGCAGTGATTTAGAATGGATTGGGCGTAGGCGTGGAGACAAGGTGCAGTAGCCCCATAGCTCCCTGATAGCTGGCAGTGTGACAGCTGTGAATGGAGAACAGGGAACAGCCTGAAGTACTGCAATCTAATATGTGTCACATACCTGCATAAATATTTATGCCTGTTGCAGAGTAGAGCAGGAGGGAAAGAGAGGAATGGGATGATGGGATGGAAGAGGAGGTCTTAGACAAAAAAAAAAAAAAAACTTCTATCAGGTGACAATGAGATCTGAACTGTCCAGTCTTTATTTATCTAACAATTGTCAATTTGGACCCAAGGCTTTAAAATATCCCATGATTGGAATAAGAGGAGCACTAAATACATACTCAATTAAATGTGTTTTCTGTTCTATTTATTAAATGTGATTCATGATTATAATTTTGACTTTTAACAAAGACCAAAGCAAAACTACTAGCAAAAAATACCATTAAAAGTAATAGCTGACATCACGTGGCTGAGATGTATGCCAGTTCAAAATCATTGAGAGCGATTTCCCTCATTATTGTTCAGCTGGCACATATGCCAGATGAAAGTAATGATGAGCATAGAAGGAAGAGTTTTACCGCTTTCATAGAAAAAAAAAGTTTGCTGTGTGGAGGAGGAGGAGGTGTTACTTTAAATCAGGTTCAAGCTGTCAGAGTGATTGCATTTCTTTGCTTGATTAACTTATGTTCTGGTTTAATCAACGAACACAAAAACAGTTGTTTGTTTATAAGAGAACTGTTTAAATCAACCTTTAAGAAAAGGCTTTGATTTCTACACGTTTAACACATTAGTTTTCCTTAAAAATCCAAAGTGCAAAGTTTAATCTGAGCCAAACATTCTTGGTCATGAGCTTTTTACACAAATTTAACATCTAGAGGAAAATAACAGAAAACAATTTATTTTATTTTATTTTATTTTTTTGATTCATTTGAGTTTAGTGGCTTTTTCCACCAGAAATGAAAGCAGCTATAAAACAAAAGGAACATTTGTGTATCAGTAGCAAATGAAAAGTTTTACCTGTTGGCCATCAGACTCCTGAAGGTGACCTGACTCACGCCCTCATAGGCTGGCAGCAGCCTCGGCCAGTCCCAGGTCCACTCAACCACGGCACTCTGTTGATGCATGAGGAGAGCGTATTGTTAGTTATTAATCAAGGTTAATACCATCAGTGCATTACCGCTCCAGCTGGGACCCACTAACAAAGGAGGAGGGGGTTCGCCAGCATAGGCCATGACATCAGGCGATCAATCATGTCCGCACAAGAAGGTTTTTATTCCAATAAGACAGCAATTAATTTATAAAACCATTTGGGGGGATGTAGCCATCATTTATAGAAAGATAAATCAATTTTTGGAGTGAGTCGTTACTCTTCTTGCTATGTATTTTTCTCTTTCCATCTTCAATGGCAACCTGCCAACCCCCCCAAACCCCCCGACCCCCTTTTCTCTCCATTTCTTTTGATCTCTCTCCTTCTTAGATACACAAACAAACATACATATGACCCAACACACTAGAAAGCATTACCAAATTGAGGAATCAAGTAAAATTGTTACTTTGATTGCTAAAATGTCACATTTAAATCCAGGTGGAGTAATGAAAAAAGATGATTCCATTTCACTCCATCCATCCATCCATCCATTGTCCATCCATCCATCCATCCATCCATCCATCCATCCGTCTGTCCGTCCATCCATCCATCATCCATCCGTCCATCCATCCATCCATCCATCCATCCATCCATCCATCCGTCCATCCATCCGTCCATCCATCCATCCATCCATCCATCCATCCATCCATCCATCCGTCTGTCTGTCTGTCTGTCTGTCCGTCCATCCATCCATCCATCCATCCATTGTCCATCCATCCATCCGTCCATCCATCCATCCATCCACCCGTCCATCCAACCAATCATCCATCCATCCATTCATCCGTTCATCCATCAATCCATCCATTCATCCATCTATCTGTTCATCCATCCATTCATCCATTCATCCATCCATCCGTCCATCCATCCATCCATCCATTGATCTGTTCATCCATCCATCCATTTGTCCATCCATCCATCCATCCATCCATCCATCCATCCATCCGTATAATGCAGTTATTTTTCTCTTCATGTTTTGATTAATGAGTCGAACTTTTTTTAACGCCTTCTGTCTTATTTGACAAACAGCACTGGCACCTGAAACAGAGAAGGCATTTTAATCATTCTCTTAATAGGGTATTTCTATGCAAAGCTATGCAGTCTCCATCGATAAGCTTAAAATGGGCCAAGTCTTGGATTTAAGATCTGACTGTTCATTAAAAACCATAGCAACAAACATGTCCTCAATAGACTGCTAACGTAAACATACATATAATTTGTTTGTTTAAAGTATAAAGCCTACATTAATATNTTACTGTTAGGGCCACTTCTCCAGCATGGGGATCACTGCTCCAAGTGCTCCAATGGGCACTACAGTTATATATATATATATATATATATATATATATATATATATATATATATATATATATATATATAAAATTGTTTTGTGTAAGACCACCAGAATATATCTAAACAGAAAGGAGAAGGTGAACTTAAGCTACTTGTAACTAGACCTAATACCTCCATGACAGAGAGAAAAAAATAACTGAACATCATGGTGACACTCCTGGGGATAGGTTGCAATAAGAGAATATGTGGTTCAAAGCGCTAAAGAAGTGCACTTTTAGACTGCACTCCCCTTTAACATTACTCATTTCTTTATGAAAAGAAAATGTCTCTCATCTTTTCACTTTTCCTGCATTCTTTTCTTCCCTGCCATCCAAGCCCCATGCTTGGAAAAGGCAGCGACCTTTGGGAAACACGAAAGCCAAGCCCCAGAAAGACCTGACAGCTTCAGAGAATTTTATAGTATCCAGTTCACAAGGGACTCAAACAGCTTTTCACCTTCAGCATTAAGCATCTGGCCTTGGTTCAAGATAAAATGACACTGCAATGCATGTGAAAAGTTCACCTACACTATGCAAAGTCTGAAAACTATAAGCTCACTTTTCTACTCATTTAACTGTAGATGAAAATTCATTCAACTGGCATTAGAATTCATTCCAAAGAATATATTTTATTACCAAAGTAAACTATAATGTTAATCTTAAGACTTAACAAACCTGATCCAGCTTCTTCTTGCCAACATGGTCAAATTGAAGAAGTGGGTTGAAACGGACAATGTGAGCAGGATTCTCTGGACCAACATTAAAATTCACCAAAAGACTGGATTCCTTCAGAGGGTCGGTATGTTCATTCAGTTTAGACATCAAGAGTTCCTGAATCCAAAATATAATGGGAAATTAAAAATGTCATGCCTTGACAGGATACAGCTTTCAGTAAATAGTCTGAAACAGTCTGAAAAAAGCATAAGAAAGGAAATTAAGTATAACAGGCAGATAATCATAATTAATTGTGGTTAAATGATATCAAGTTTGATTGAATCTGCAAAAATCTTTGAAGGACTCGAGTCCCATTTTCTTCAATTAAACAGCCTTCTCAAAGTAAAAATAAAATCAGTAAACAAAAAACAAAACTTTTTTATGTTCTGCTCTGTTTTCTGTAACCTTCTGTTTTGATTTTTATATCAGTTAAAAGATACAGCATAGTGTGTTGCATGTGTTATTATGAGAACATGTGTATCTTGTTGTAAAGTCACTCTATTTCCATCAGTCACCTTGACATGAACTGCCACTCTCTACTTTTACCATCTTGTCTGTCCCTGACCAGCATATTTTTTACCCTGACTTTAGTTATGCAGAGATGCTGAGTTACAATCACAACTGCACATATTGCTCTAAATTAAAATTAAAACATACGTTGTGTCTGTTTTATGTTTTTGCCATCTTAGACAGACTGAGGGTGAGAAAGCAAAACACTATGTATAGTGCTGTTATTTAGTCTGCAGGTTTGGCTTAGAAAGAAGGATAAACATTTGTTTTTTTTTCTAATCGGCTATAAAATAACACTGAAACTGAATGAAAGTACTATATTTCTAAATTATTCTAAGTATTTTATATCTACACTATCCTATGTTAAGAAATTGTATTTTTATTATTGTCTTTTTTTACAATGTCAGTTGTGTCACCTGCCACATACTTATGACAAAATATTATTTTTGTATATGCCATTCATATTAGCTCCAATTGAAATCAACTATTTTTTATTAAACATTTGAACTAATTTAACCTAACTATGTACAATAGTTACATGCAAAAAGAAAGAAATATATACAATTAAAAACGAAAACCTTTGTGTTTATAATAAATCATACAAGCCTGTGTGACTAAATCTCTTCTACACTGAGAAATCACTAAAGGTTTGCACCCTTGAGGTCACCTGCACATGAGAAGATCAAAGCCAGCTGACTGCACACAAGCAGTAGCCCTCTTCCCTCCGTCTTCCCCTCATGAACAGCCTGCGGCCTCAGGCCAGCAGCCACCTAATTGCTGGGGAGAGCGAGTGCTTCCCTACCTCATTGCCTTGGATGATGTGATAGATCTGCCTCAGGTACTGGCTGCCACCTGCTTTGTGGCACACCTCCAGCAGAATCAGGCCTATTTTCTGCTCAGTCAGTTCAGCTGCAGCAACTTCTCTCTCCACTCCTTGCTCAAATATGCTGAGAGAGGAACAGTGATGGGAAGAAGAGGGGGAAAAATGTGAAAGTGAACATCAGAACAAAATGCAGAGTGGGGAAAGAGAAGGGGGAGATTTACTTTGTGTTTAAAAAAGGAATTTGAGTTGAAAATTGCTAATTGTGGCTCTAAGTATAACATTTTCAACGTTGTTTACTTTTTCGTCAAACCACTTACTTTAGAGGACACATTAGTTTTAAATTAATGTAACTCATTTTAGATTTTTACGTATTTGTACATTGTAAACTGAAGATTTTTTTGATGGAATTTATTTACGACAAAGGGTCAGAAATCATAAGATTCTTTTCTTCTTCTGCTACCTTTCATTTAATTTGATTTGTTTTTTGTTGTATGTTGAATTTGTGTTGTTTTGTTT